GCCCTCATTTCCTTGGTGTCCTCAGTGCCCTTTGGAGAAATGGAGACTGAGGTAAGTGCAGTTGTGTGGAAAGCAATCAGTTGTGTGCTGAGCTCATGTTTAATAAGCAGCTGAGGTGACAGCCAAGTCACCTTGGGCAGCTTGATAGCCATGAGTGTCACTCCTTTCTAAAGTGATCCAGTGCTTGACTCACCCCTGAATTGTTTGCAGACAAATGGCATGGTTTGACTGTCAGAGGGAGGTGATGGAAAAGGCTGTTCTACCAGCCAGCTGAAGTGATTATTTGAAACAGAGGGATTACAGAACCTCCTGGGTGTGGTTTTTTCAGGCTCTCCCCCTTCATACTTTTTTTTTTTCCGCTTGCCACCCTTTTTTAAAGAAAAGCTCTTCTTTTACTGCTGATGGTATTTTCTGTCAAATGTACCTCTTGTCCCTACTTCATAATCTCTCCCCACCAGAGGGGGAGTGTATGATAATTGTCTTGGGGATTTCTCAAGTGGTCTCTTACCAGCCACCAAGTTCCAGCTGTTGGAAAAATTTTAAGCATCTCCTCCATCAGTTTCCCCCAACCCTTGGCCTTATCCTTTCACTTGGATTTGGGGCTTTTAGTAGGAAACCCATCAAGAGTCGTAGTGGTTCTGATGAAGGTTTGTATACATGACCTTGAGGACTTGGAGGTGCAACACACAGTGCATTGAAGGCAGTAGGAGGCTTTCCACAGGCTTTGGTGCACTTTGGCTCAGGCTTTTGAAGAATAACAGGAAATATTGGAAAACTGCACCAAGGGTAAACAGAGCAGTTTAGTTACATTAACTGTCTAGAGGAGAAGCTCCGCTAATGACCGAAGCAAACAAAGCAAGTGCAGCGGTTTAGCATTGCTGTGGGAAAACAAGCTGATAATTGCTGTTAGTTTAAAAGAGTTACACAAGGAATTGGCCAGCTCAGGCCGGGAGAGTAATTCTGGCATCCTGACCCAGTTCTGGGCGCTGCACAGACGCTGACGGGGGAGCATGTCCTGGAAAGGAGCACAGACTGCAGGGAGGCCAGAGGCTGAATGCTGTGTTTTATTCATAGCATTGCTACTCTAAAGTCTTGTTCTCCAAAAAAATGCATCAGAGAGATCTGTTGTTGCTGCCTCCCTGTGACTCCTGATAAGGTTTGCCTTACTGTGATTATGTTAACAGTCAGGACTCAAAAGGGTCAGCCAGCTTGTTTCTGGACTCACATATGATGAGCAACAATAAATAGGCTGCAGGACTCCTCTGGTGAGGCCGTGGTGTCTTTGACTAGTAACCAATGCATTATTTATATTTGGAAAGAAGCTGGAGTGTGAAACCAGATCCCAGGGTGCTTACTCTGAATAAATATTGAATGAAAGGAGTTTAAGAGCTGAGGGTCTGAGCTGTCCTTGTTTGCCTTTGTGGAATGTCATTGTCTTCAGGAGAATGAGAGGAACTGAAGGCTGGGGTTTACCTTGGGGTTAGAATGGAGGAGTGACTGCGGTAGTGACAGCACGGAGGGAGAGTCCTGCTCACCCATCGTGGCTCTGCTGGCTTTGCAAAGGATAAGAGGCAGCAGCACGTGTTTGTGGTTCCTGGTAAAATGGACAGTTTTGGCTGGGAGAGCACAGAGGGCAGTGGGTCTGCAGGGCAATGCAGTGCTGTTTTGACATTCCTACTTCTAATCTAAGAGCTTTTCCTATCAGCTCATTATTCAAGTTCTGTTCATGTAAGAATAGAACCCCTTCCTAAGGCAGAGTATTTCAAGAGACTGATTACCTGCTTCTAATTCCATGTGAATTCTGAATAGCAGGTAAGATTAGGGGATCACAAAGGAAATGCAAACTCCTGATTCAGCATTTGCACTGCTGTTTAGGACAAACAAATACTGCTGTGTCCCATTTATTTCTGTTAAAAGGAGGGGGACTGTTCATTAGTGAAAGGAATCAGCGTGGCATTGCATTTACTACGTGTAGAAAAACCTGGACCCTTTGATGTAGCTGGAGACCCTTGAACTTCAGAAAAGAATGTGTTAGCATGCTAGAGTATGCCTGAGTCCTGCAGGTCAGTTAATCCTTTTCTCAAGTGAGTCATTGTAAGGTAAAGTAGATGCTGAGAAAAGTTCTGCATTGCCAATTAAAACAGGCTCCAAAGGTGTTGCTGGTTTCAGTCTACCAGAAACTCATCACTGAGGGGCCAGGAGGGGCTGCCTGTGTACCTTGAGGCCAGATCCTAGGCTAATATAAACTGGCTTGGTTCTCTGGATTTAGCAGAGCTCCTTTACTTTATTCCAATAAAGGTATTCCTTTCAGGCTCAATTCCTTTATGCTTATGACTTTATGACTTTTTAAAGGATTTCTGTTAAGAAACCTGGAATGGTTCAGGAAGGTGTCGATTTCCACACATGTAAAAATTGAACAGATTTCAGAAGAAGCCTGTAAATAACTGGAGACATGAGTTCTGACTCAGTCTTTATAGAGGATACATTTTATCTGCCTCAGACCCCCCTGCAAAATCAAAGCTGAATAACGACTGGCAGCCTCAGCATTTCTCCCAGGCACAGACCTTTTGTGAGGTCAGGTTTAAAATAAAGTTAAGGACAGGAATGTACTGATTAGTAGCTGCTACCCTTGTTGTTCACCAGCAAAACCCCACTTTCAACGTGTTTAACAAAAAATATAATTGAAGTTATCAGAAAGCTAAGGCATTTCTTAATGAACAACCCTAGACCAAACACTATTGTTTTGTGGAAGGGATAAAATCAGGGAACCTAAACCACTTGGGAAGTCAGGAAGATGATTTGTTTTCACCCCTTTGAAGTGGAACAGCTGATGTGCTGACCAGGAGGCCGTTCAGGAAGCTGTTGGAATGGGGTGGCTGCCAGATCCCATCCCACAGGAGCCTGGACAGAGCAGAAACCTGAAGGACCCAGCTTTCAGCCTCAGCACTGGGGAAAGCACAAGGCAGACAAGCTGCAAGAAACCTTGGAAACCTCCTTGTCTCATCTCCGTTAGAAAAGTTAACAGGATTGCTGCGTGCCCAGGAGCCTTCTAAACTGGCATTTCATGGCAAACTTCCCTCTGGAAGATTTCCAGCCAGCTTATATACCTTACTCATGATACTGAGCCCTTCCTGTCCTGACTTTTAGGAATAGGATCTTTAGATGGTCTTCTTTGCATTGGAGGAATACTGCTGGAACTTTCTTCCTAGCATGTGAAGAGTTTTCTCTGTGTGCAGAAACAACGTGGGTAAAATATTTGGAGTGAAATCCAGGCTCCACTGAAGTCAGTGGCAAAACTCCCGTTCACTTCGGTGGAGCAGGAATTTCACTCTCTACTGTTTTGAAGTTGGAGCTACTAATAGACTGTTAGATTAGTCCTGCATGCATCAAACAAAATGTGCTTGATGTGAATGTTTCTGCTGTGTTCAAAACCCACAAAGGTTAGAAAACAAGAATAACTATGAACTTCTGAGTCGAAAAATTATATTAAGTGTAGTTTTGCTAGAAATAATAATGTCCCTGGAGATAAACCTAAAATAATAGACTGCACCATATAATCTTCACTTTAAGTTAAAAATAGCAGAGATGGTGGTTTAATCTAAGCCATAATTATCAAACTGCTGAAGCTGGTTTTGGTTCACTGCAGCTAGAAATGGATGTCATGTTTGGGCTTTGAACAGTCAAGCCCCACACCTGGAGAGAAGCAAAGCCAAGAGCACAGTCAGAAAACAAACAGGAGCCTCTGATTTACAGAGAAATAGCACAGATTAAAGAGTCCAACTCCATATTTAGAGGTACTGCCCTGGCTTGCTCCAGCCAGCCAGCTGGAGACCCAATGAGTTCCTGTTAATCTGTGTTTTCAGCCCCAAACTGGTGACATTTTGCTAGCAGGTGACACTGACCCTACAAGACACCTTTTGTCTGAAACTCATCTTCCATTTCATCTTGGAATTGAAGGAGGACTGTTAATGTTTCAAACAGTTACTGCTCTGCATGATTCTAAGAAAGGGGTTTAATGATAATTTCAGAGTGGGATGGAAACCCTTTAACCTTTCACTACCAGGCACTGTGGGATGGGCTGAGTGTAGGACTGAGTCAGGCTTCTGACATGGCACTGACACAGGAGGTGAACTTGGTCACCTCATTTATCCCTGTTCACAAAGGCTGACCTGCAGCAGACAAGTCTCACCTTCCCATAGAGGCAACAGAGGTTTATTCTGAGCAGGATTTGGTGCAGCAGCCCCATTCTGTCCTTGCTGGGATGGGCACGGGGCAGTCTTGGTGCTTTTTTGGACAGTGCTTGGAGAAATGGGGCTTGGTTCTGCCTCAGGCTCCAATCTGAGCACTGCTGTTCCAGAGTCAGAGGCTAATTCAGGTTGGAAGGGCCACTGGAGGCCATCTGATCCAGCCACTGCTCAAAGAAGGATCAACTTCAAAGTTAGATGAGAGACTGTACAATACCACTGATTTAGAAACATGTTTTTCCTAATGGTGTATTCCAAATTCACACTGACACAACAACAGAATTGGCCCATATCTGGTATTAATTTTGATCATTCCCTCAATGTGATTATAGGGATCATATCCACTAGATTTGGGAAAGCAATCCCAAATTTTCAATAGATATTACCTTCAATATTCTAGCAGATATCCTTCCACTGGGCTACATCACTTCTGCAGGTCACATCTCGTGAACCTCAAATAGTTTCACATTTTCTGATAGAAAAGTCCATAAGAAGCCCATTTTAAAGTTTCAAACATATAAACACTAAACCCCTTGTGAAATTAAGACAATGGATGAACTAAAGCAACCTATAGTTTATTTATATTTGTTAATTTAACAGATGCCCAGAGCAATGGCTGAATGATTGTGTGTTATATGTGCAGCCTGGTTTCGAGCTGTTAATTGCTAAGAGTATAATTACTAATTGCAATGGGAAATGAGAAACCCACATCATAACTTGATAGGTTTTTTGTCCTGTTTTGTTCTCCTCCAACAGCATGGGGATGAGCCACGATGATGACCACCAGCCCTGTGCAGGGAGGTCCCACATTATGTCTGGAGAGTGGGTGAAGGGCAGGAACCCCAGTGACCTTTCCTGGTCTTCGTGCAGCCGTGACGACCTGGAAAACTTCCTAAAGTAAGGATTGTGCTGAGGATCAAAGATCCTGCAAGGCAAAAATGCAATATGTTATTTGAAAGTGAAAGTATAAATGATTTCCCTTCAAAAAAAAGCATGTGTGCATGTGTCATTAGGGTATGCAGGTTGGATTCTGTCTCCACTACAGTCACCCCTTTGAAACTGAGGATTGTAGAGAGGCAGAAGAATTATGTGCTGATAATTTCTTAAATATAATTCCAGACCACCTTCATTTTACAAAAACTGCCCTTTATGTTTGCAGTGACAGAAATCTGTGTGTATGTAGCCTGCAGAAATCTCTGCTGCAACTTTTTGCTGTGACTTTTACTGCCTATCTTGTTATTAAATAGCTTTTATTTTATTTTTTATTTTACCTGGAGGTAATTCTGATATGTTTTCTCACTCTTCAGTGAGTGTTGGTCTAAAATGGTCCACTATAAACTTATTTTCCACTGTTTCAGCTCATCATATTCAACAATTCAGGAAGGACTTCTGTCCTGATACTTGTTAACTCTCATGTACACTGGAATTGTCTGAACTCTGTGACTGGGCTCTTAAACCTACAGTGCAGCTCTCTGACAAACAGTTCCTGGCACAGTGGCCAGTGCTTTTGTTGCTAAGAATGGGTTCAGCATGGAAAATTTCCCACTCTGGGCGTTAGAGGTGGCAAAGAAAGGAAAATGATGAAAGAAAATGGGATATCTACTGTTACATTAAAGGCATGAAGTTGAAAAAGAAGTTGCATCTGAACTCACCTGGTTGCATCTGGTCCCTGAGATGGGAGAGATGACAGTGATATTCTAATTTGTAAAAGATTGTTGTGAAGGCAAAGAGAAAAATCTTTCCTTTATGCCTGTGATGAATAAGAAAAGAAGTCAAGGACTCAAAATTCAGCTGGGGGGATTCAGGTGAGACGTGACAGAAGACTTTCTTGCTGTCACTGTAAGGCTTGTGAAGCTTTGGGCTGGATAACCTGAGGGCAGAACTGAGTCTCCATGAGATTTCTAGGAACAGTTTAGATGAATGTTTAACCCAAAATGTTGTGAATGTAGTCTGTTCTGCCTCGGGGTTTGTGGACAAGAGTGAGTTCCCAAGGACCTTTTTCAATTATTTAGAAGCTTCCAGATATATAGTGGGAAAAATCTCCACTGTTCCATCAGATTAAAGAGAGGACAGCAGCTTCTCTGCAGCAGGGATCTAACACTGCAGTTCAGAGGTGTTTTCCCTTAAAAGGCTCTGTAATTCCTGCCCTCCCAGGTCCAAGGTGAGCACGTGTTTGCTGGTGACAGACCCCCGGAGCCAGTTCTCCGTGCGGCTCCCTCACAAGCTGCCGGGGATGCACTACAGCGCAGACGAGCAGTGCCAGATCCTCTTCGGGACCAACGCCACCTTCTGCAAGAACATGGAGGTAAGAGCCCGTGGGCTGGGCCTGGAAACAAGGTGGGAAGTGGAAATAAAGCTGTCAGGCACCGAGGGAGAAAAGAGGTCTGTGCTTTCCTCAGCTCTGCTTAGCGGGAGTTGCGGCGTGTTCAGCGCTGCTGAGAGAAAATCAAACCCCCGCTGACCTCCCTGTCAGCAGCACATTCAGAGACACTTCTCCTCTTTTCCCCACACTGCCCTTGTTAATCTCCTAAAGCAGACCCAGAAAAGCTGGTGTTTGCACTTTGTTCCCTCCTGACACTGTTTTGCTGAAATACTCAGCAGAGATTGTTTTCCTGGAAGTTCAGCTGAGGTGAAAGCCTCTCCTCACAAGAGTGCTTGGCTCCTTTCACAGAGTCAGCTTAGATGACTGTCTGGATCTTTCCGTAGACTTCACCTTCAGACCACTGCAGTGCTCTTAGGAGCTGACTCTTAACTCTGTGCTGAGAAAATATTAATATCTGCTTGTTAGATGAGGCCATTTAGAATTTTGTGCAGAATCCTGTGTGTTTTCTAAGCAACATGATGTTTAATCAGGATTTGGGTGCAGCGTGGCTCATATCACATGGTTGGTTGGCAAAACGGAAACACTGCTTGTTGGTGTCTCTGGAAGTAGGTTGTATTTGAGATGAGGCTGTGTGACATGTCCTCTGGAATTTAGACAGCTAAACTTTTCCTAAGGTCTTTTTATTCTGAGCATATCTTACCTGCATCCCACTTTAGGCAGGGACTGGGGATGAGCTTACTTCCAGTGTGGCCTTGAAGATACCCAGAGGAAAGTCATGTAGCACCGTGTTGGGTCACCAACATCCCCTCCTTTACAGACAGGCAAGAAGCAGCCAAGTTTCTTGCTGTTTTTAACTGGCCATTTGTCTTCTTCAGTTGTCCCTCATTCCCACTCTGAACAAGTCTGGGATCTTAGATCAGTGTTAGGAAATAAAATAATAATCGCCGATAACTGGGGGTTTCTAAGTGCCAAATTACTAAAACTGTTGAACACATGCAAGTCCTGGGAACGTGCTCTTAGTTTCACATTAGCTGTTTTATTTATTTTGGATTTGGAAACTAGCTAATATAAAACAATAAGAAAAGAATCTGGATAGGCTGTATTTCCCAGCTCCATCAAGAAAACGCAGACCACCAGGACTACTGTACTGGAAGGAAAGTGGTGTAGGTCTGTGGAGAAAACCCCAGATCTCCCCAGCATGACTCAAGTTCTTCCACTTGTGTGGGTGTCACCCAGCTTGACTGCTGTTGGAAGAGATATTTGCTATTTCCCTTCTTGGGATGAAAAAACATTCTGTTTCTGGATATTCCAGTGCCTAATGAGAATGTCAGCCCACTGGTAGGTGGTCAGCCTTTCTCACACACAAATTGCATGTCCAGTCTGGAATTGCTTCAGGGACATGTTGTTTGCCAGAATAAGGTGCCAAGAGGCACAGTTCTGTAAGATACAGACAGCAGGTGTTTGTGCCTCCTAAGATTTTTCACCAGTCTTATTATTTGACACCTTTAGAACACAATGAAAACTGTGCTCTTTTGCTTCATCACTCTCTTTAGTGTCTCCCCAAGAAAGGCATATTTTGTGAGGACTTCAGTACTTTCTCATGAAAAGCCTTGTAGAAGTTCAGCAGATTAAAACCAATTTGCAGTCATTTAGAATTATTTCTGTTGCAGATGTGCATTGAAAGTGAGCATTCACCCTGTGAAGCCTTGGATCAGTCATGTCACGTGCCATTCATTTAAGTAAATATTTGCATCCTGTTACGCTGCTCTGAATTGGCTTTTGAAGGCAATGAAAGGAAATTCTTTAGAGGAAATGATCACTTTTGATTTTTAAACCTCTCAAGTTTGTGTTCTTTTCACCTCTGTGTTTCTCAGGCCTCATCTGCACAGTGCTTGTATCATAAGTCTCAAAGCTGTCTACAAAAATATGAACCAAAAAAAAAATTGGCACTGGTCACTGGCATTAGCTGTAGAAATTACTGGCAAATACAGCTGTCTCCTCTTCTAGCCAATGGTAATGTGGTATTTTTAATTCAATAAAGTATTAAAAAAATCCAAATGTAAAAGCAATAAACATTTGACAGTAAATATTTGTTACAGAAAGGAAATAAACTTCAGGAAATGAGCCTGCTCAATCTTTTTATGATTACATGTGTCTACTGACTATTTTCTTATATAATAAAGAGCTACATTACTATATTTCTTTGGAGATAGTTGAGCTCCATAATTATGTCAGGCAAACTAGAGGCCCTGTGTTCAAAAATGCCATGCACTTTGGTTTAGAGCAAATTTCAGAGATTAGATGATTCCAAAATTTCAACAAACTGCAGAGGCTTTCTGTGCAGTAAAGAGTCTCCTTTAAAGGCATCAAAGCCCAAATTTTTGAAGGAATGTAACCTCCTTTGCCTTCACAGAGAGTCAGGTGCCTGAATGCTTGGCAGCTCCTGGACCTCCGACACCGCTCCAACCAGATAGTTAATCTGTGAATATTCACCCTCATCTGAATATTTGGGATTGCATCCCCAAAATTCTTCTTCCATTTTGTTTTTAATGATAACTCAGATGCCCTACCACAAAACTGTAGCTCTCAGAAAATGCTCAGTTTGCCAGACGAGCCGTCCTGCAGCTGTTCTGCTCCGAATGTGCAGAACAGAGATCAAAATGTCTGAGGAAGGCTCAGCTTTACATACACTGAACCTCCTGACAGTCCTGCTTCCTTTGCTTGGACACTGCATCTACATTTTAATGCACTAAAATTTTAAAAAATGAACTAATTAGCAGAGTGAGTGTGTGATAGTCAGAGGATTCGTAGCCTCTTGTAATCTGTGACCTCCAAGGTGTGTAATTTAGGATCTGGTTCTGTAACATCAGTGGTTAGGTCAGATTTACTAGTGCATGTCACCTTTTTGAGGAGCTGTGAATCAAGCTTTTAGGCTGGATGTTTGTAAGGCAGGGAACAATCAATTTTTCAATTTTTATTTATTTGAGAAGCACTGTTTCTGTTATTACACAGTATGAATAATAAATGGCAAGATAACCTGCCAGGCCCTTGAGGGAAGACAAGTCCCTTTGGGTGTGTGCTCTGCCTGTAGTTTAATTGGTTTGAGATGAATCCAGGTGCCTGGTTTTGGATTAACTTTACCCTGAGTATTGCATGGATAAGTCCTTACCCACCATCAGGAAATTATACAGAGGAAATTCTTCCCTGTGAGGGTGATGAGGCCCTGGCACAGGTTGCCCAGAGAAGCTGTGGTTGCCCCATCCCTGGAGGTGTCCAAGGCCAGATTGGATGGGGCTTGGAGCAACCTGGAGGGGGATTGGAACAAGATGATCTTTAAAGTTCCTTTCAACCCAAACCATTCTGTGATTCTGTGATTTCACATATCATAATAAATCTCTCAAGACCCTTCAGTAGTTCCCCCTTCATATCTAAGTTACAGTTTTCTCCAGTGCTTTCTCATGGTGCTTCCTGTTAATCTTTCCCATTGTAAATGTCAGGCATTATCTGATCCATGTAAATACTTATCTGTCAGGATTTAGAAATGTGCTTCTGCCATGCCAGGCATGCTGCCTGTTTCCAGCCATGCCCCTTGCAGTGCCAGGAGAGCTTTGGCCCACCCAAGAGGTTGCACAGTGATCTTTATTTTGAGGGAGACAAGTTGCTTTTAGCAGGAATTAAATAGATGACTGTGTCATTCTCAAGCTCTGAGCAACACCAGGATAATTGTGGAAAAAGCTCAGCAAGAATGCACCTTTGACACTACAAAGTGCATTATCAGTGCCCCCCAAACTCCAAGATCTTTGGGGATTTTGGCTGCTAAACCTTGACATGAGTCCAGGGCTAACATGGAAGCAGTTGTGCAAATTACGGGCAATTCAACCTGTCTGACCTCTGTCCTTCAGCTCCACACTGTGCTATGAATCAACTATTGTGAATTCATTTGACCACTGTGAAAGAGGAAACAGAAAGTTCAACCCCAGCCAGGCAATGGAGGCTCTGCAGGGAGCAGCAGTTAACTCTTTGCTTCCCTGGATTTATTCCGAGAGGAAGAGCAGGGGTGGTTTATACCGAATCTCTCACAGAGCAGAGATGTTTCTCCACCAGAAATGCATCAAAACACCTTCATAACCTCCACTAGAAATGCATCAGAACACCTTCATAACCTCCACCAGAAATGCATCAAAACACCTTCATAACCTCCACCAGAAATGCATCAAAATACCTTCCCAACCTGCACCAGAAATGCATCAGAACACAACCATAAACTCACATGAAAAGATACCACGTGTTTAATCACTAATTTTCAGACTGGCACACCCACCAACAGAGGCTTTTGCACTGAAATCCTATTGATGGGGAAAAACCAGGGATTTCTGTCTCTTCTATCCCGTGTTTGGCTTTTTGTTTCATAAGCCTTTTGGCTTATTTATTATTAACACATTTTTGCGGGTTTTTACATAACCCATATCTGTGTTTTGTTTTGAGTCAGAACTGGGCTCGGGCTGAAGTGGCTCACGGGAAGAGATCAGAATTGCTCCAAAGAGGTTTTTTTCTGAGCAGGGACACTGTCAGCTCGGATGTAACTGGGAACGAGAATTTTGACATGACACTGCTTTTAGAAAAATTAAACCAGCTTAGAATTGGCTCTACTGTTTTTTCTTAAGTTCAAGTTGTTTTATAACAGTTGTAAGCATTTCCCAGTATCTACAAGCTACAGAACAGGGGGGCAAAGCTGATTCCAAGCCAGAGGAGACTGACTGGGTTTCTGGGCTAATATGGAAAAGGAGATGAACTAAAAAACAAAGTAAAGAAAGAGCAGCAATTGTGATGATCAGATGGATTTTATGTGCCCCTTCAGTTTTCATATTTGAGGGTGGGGTGGTGAATATATTTAGCAATTGTGGGTCTCTCTGTGGTCTTGATCTTGCAGAGGGACTGGTGGGGTGGACCCTTGGACTCCGTGCCTGGGAATCAATGGGCCT